AAATAAACATCTATTTCAAAGAAGCTATTGATTTTTTTGACAAGTCTTTAATGTATGTTTGTTTATATTTAATCACATTGCTCCTTTCTGTAATGTTTCCCTTTGGTTTGGGTTTGCTCTGTACTATTTTTTACATCTTGAGTGTAATCTCTAGAAGATTTTTAATCTTTTGTTGTATCTAAAATAAGCATTTAGACCATAGATGTCCCTGTTAATACTGTACTTAGCTGCATCTCTCTTTTTTTCTTTTCATAGCTGAGGATTGTACTTAGGACCTTCCAGATGTTAAGCAAGTGCTCAGCCACTGAGCTAAATCCTCAACCCCATCATCTCACAAGCTTTGATAATGTACTGTTTTAATTTCCTTTCAGTTATAAATATTTCTAATAATAGTAGTTTCTTTTTAAACCCATGAACTCTTTTCAAAGTTGTTTTTCTTTGCTTCATTTCTAAGTATGTTTAGATTTGTGATTAATCTTTTGTTATTGACTTTTAACATTGTGCTGTCATGCATATGATTTGTATGAATTTTTGGTTCTCATTTATATTTGTATTGTAGCCTCATATATAGTCAATTTTTATATATTCCACGTAATTTTGAAAATATATACCCCTCAGTTGTTGGATGCAGGACTCATTATATCAAGCTTATTAACAGTTTAGACTTTCTGCATCTCTAAAATTTTATGTGTTTCATTTGTCAGTTACCAGGAGGTGCTTTTTAAAAAATATCCCTCAGGGATGAAGTTGATGATGACGATGAATGGTTTGTGTATTTTTTTTCTTAAAATTCTACCAAGTTTTGCTTTATGTATTTTGGAGCTCTATTGTTAAATGAAAGCCACAATACATATTTCTGGCAAACTGTTTCTTCCATTTTAATATGGACCTTCTCCATCCCTAAAATGCTTTTTATTTTAAGACCAATTTTGTCTGATATAGACCGTGGTGCCATCTTTCTTATTTACCTAATACATCTTTTCAAACCACCTTTTTTTCAATATGTATGTGTCACCGGGTTTTAAATACTGTATGTTTCTTGCAAATAATATTTAGTTGTGCTATGCTTTGTTTTGTGTTTTACTCCAATCTGAGATTCTCTTTTAGTGGGAAAATTTTGATCATTGATATTTACCCCAATCACTCCTATGTTTGGAAATATCTCTACTCCCTTATTTTGTATTTAATGTTTGCCATGTTTTTTTTTTTTCCTATCTTAGTCTTTTAGTCAGCTTTTTCACTACTGTCACTAAAAGATCTGACCACAGCAATTTTAGAGGAAGAAAAGTTTGAGGGCTCACAATTTCAAAAGTCTCAATCCATAGACAGCAGGCTCCATTCCTTGGGGGCTGGAGGTGAGGCTGAACATCATGGCAGAAGAGGATGGCAGAGGGAAGCAGCTCATATGGTGATCAGAAAGCAGAGAGACAAATACAAACATGGGCTGGGATTGTGGCTCAGCGGTAGAGCCCTCACCTAGCACGGGCGGGACCAGGGCAGGGTTCGGTCCGCCGCACCACATAAAAATAAAGGCATTGCGTTGTGTCCATCTACTTCTAAAATATATATATAATTTTTAAAAATCAAACATTTACCCCCAAACCATGCCCCCAATGCACCACTTCCTCCTACCTGCCCTAATTACCTCTGAATTAATTCACTGATTGGATTAGAGCTCTCATAACCCAATCATTTCTCCTTGAAACCTTCTTGCATTGTCTCACACACATGAACTTTTGGGAGCTACCTCACATCCAAATCATAATACGTAGTTTTGGACTTATGTTTTCTATGAGCTTTATTTATGAATGTTTTATATTTATATAAAATGTACCACATATAACATATCACATGTATATAAAATATTTACACTTACACATAAAGTTTCCCTTTTCTTTTTAGTGTTAATTTTTATATTAATAAACATTATAAGTTAGTAAGTTTATACTTTACTACCTTCACAAACAATAAGAACTTTAGAATACCTTGATTATGATCCCTCATTCCCATCTTAACGTGGTATTATTTGCCAGAGTTTTTGTTCCATGTCATTTTCATACACCTGAAAGTTGTTCAGGCATGATTAGATCCACATGCTTAAATGATTAAAATACTAAAACAGATCCTTAAAACAATGGCTCAAATGAGAGATGTATGTTTCTTTCTCACATCACAGTCCAGTAGTGAATGGGTAGGCCAAGTGCTAGACCCCATGAGGTCATCACCTAAACAGCTTTCTTCTATCTTGTTTTTATGCCCTTCCCTCCCCAGGATTAAATTTTGACCACAACATTCTTAAACATCATATTGTATTCTTAAAAACTTGTTTTAACTACCCAAATGATAATTGCCTCTACCATGTCCACATTCTACCCTTTAAGGAGGAAGACAAAGTTGAACACAAGTAATTATTATAAGGAAGTGACCTGGAAGTATATATGGTTGTGTTATGCTGCAAGGAAGGTTGGGAAATGTAGTTTCTGGCTGGATGACCAAGAGTCCATCTAAAAGTTGGGGACTTTGTTACAGCAAAAGAAGGAGGGAATGGGCTTTGGTGTACAAACATCAGAATCCTGTGTTCTCTTCTGATGTTTTCTGTGTTTATTTTAACTGTAGGCAGCTACCCCCCAGAGACTGGGAAAAAAAAAGTTACTAACAATAATAACCTCATGGTCATTAACAACAATAATCTCATGATCTCTCATTTTAGCAATTCCAATAAAAAAAGAGAAAGTATCTATTTAGGATGATTTCTCCTGACTGGTTCAATGTGGATCATATCACTAAACAAGTTGCTTTGATCAGACAGATGCAGTCCCCTGGTAAACAGGTGTGTCATTCATCTGCTCAGAAAGGTTGGTGGGATAGGCATACCCCAAACCACATAGCCTGAAAGTAGGAAAAAAAGTTGTCTTCAAAAGTCAAATATTAAGGTGCTGTTAACACCAGACTGAATGCTGAATAAGCCACATAATAGATAATCGTTAAAATTGTTCCATAGGGCTATTGGATGGTCTAAGGATGTTGTAGAACTGAATGTATTTTACAAACTCAAGTAAATAAATATGGAAAGTGACTTGATGACAGAGTTGTTTGAAATGCTTTTGTTTTCTGCTGTCCAGTTTAGGTGCCATTCACTCAGCACCTATGTTCACCTGTTATACTGACCATATTGTGTGCCAATTATTTACTTATGTCTGTCTCCCAGGCCTCCCATAACACACACTTCCAATTGACAGCTTCTCTAGACCTAGATTCCATTTGTGTCTGATAATGCCCAAGGCACAGAGTAGGCATCAGGGGACCAGACTTATTTAAAATGAAAGAAGGATAAATTCTCAATGACCCCCAGAAAAGACATCCCCTTTCAATTCTTGGCTCTCCTTATTGCCTTTGTAGATCATTATTGCAAAGATATTAGTCAAATCCAGGGATTGGGGTAGGAAGCATCAGAACAAATTATGTTGCTTATAGAAATTTATCTCCTAATGACTGGAAAATTGTAGCAGCCATCCTTTTATTTATGGAATTCAAATCAAATCACCAAGAGGAAAGACCCAAGTGGGAGGAAGTTCAGGAGATAATTGACTAATCCAGCTGTCTTATCATCCTGTTTGATTCCAAGGTTAAAAAATCGGGGCTGTGTTTTGCAATCAATTCCTAATCTAAACATATAATGACTTTCTCTCCCAGAAACACCAATGCCAGCTTAAATGATGCTGAAAAATATGCCTTTATTTGAGGGGAAAGAAGCTGAACATCAGGCAATGTAACTAGGGGTAGGAAGTGGAGAACAGTGTGGGAGACACATGTGGAGAGACATCAAGGACAGACCAAAAGGTAACCAGAGAAACAAGAACCTTGCCAGAGAAGTATCTAAGTGGCTTGCTTAGGAAGTGCCAACTATGTGTCTTCTGGGTGTGTATTTTGAATATAATAGCCACCATTTATATGCCACTGTTATATGCTAGATGTGGTAGCAAGCATTGTAAGTGCATGTTCTCATTTTACTTTTCAGAACAACATTGCAAATTCAGAGTTGGCATCCTGGTTCATAGATGAAATTTAAGACCAGAAAGTTGCAATGATTTGCCCATGGCCATACAACAAGGACTACAAATGCTGGGATTTGAATCCCTGCAGATTGGATTTGACTCAAAGCTTTTGCTCTGAGTCCTTCACTATCACAAGAATATCACCTTATGGCAAGTATTATTTCCTCCATTTTCCAGAAAAGACAGAGGCTCAGGGATGACCCAAGACACTGACAAGGCCCAGGGATGACAAAGACACTGTCTGATTCGAAAAATCTATTTTTCCTCCAAGGTAGAAGACCATGGGGAACAGGGATGCCCCCTGCCAGAAAGTCCCTGCAGATCAGACCCTACACTTTCCTGGGGAATAGTCCCCCTCCAGTTTACCCCTCAATTTCCTCCCTATACCCCTATCCCAGAATCCTATTACCATCGACTTTCTCTCGCTATGGCCTCTGGGCTGAAGAGGAACCCTGTGGTTCTTGGGAAGGTCTAAGACACTGCTTCCCAAGGATCCTCCAGGGAACAAATAATCAGGACACCCCAGCCTGAGGCCCCCATTTCCACACATCTGAACAAGGCCTGACACCCATTAAGTGCTTGGATCAGGAGCCAGTCACACTGGGTTCAAATACAGTCCCATGACGGACCAAGCAGCACCTCTCTTTTTAAAAACATCTATTAAGGGACAGACATTTCACAAGGGATTTCCTTCCATATTTCATCTAATATTTCTTCTCCTTCAATGATTGGCTCTATTTTACAAAAGAAGAGCCTCAGGTTCCTGGAGGTGAGGTGACCAGCACAAGGGCAGCAAGTGCTTGAGACTTGAACCTACCAAGGCCACAGATCCGCTGTTGCCAGGGAGCAGAGGAGGGAGGAGCTGCCAGAGCTGAGGGAGGAGGGGAAAGAGAGGGCAAGCTCCCAGCAGCGCGCGCTGACGACAGCAGGTGATTTTTTTTTTTTTCTGCAGCGCTCTCCCTCTCAGCATCTTTCCTGGGTCCCCCCCCAACCCCCCTTGCTGAGCGGCAGAAAAGGGTGGGGCAGCCTCTCTGCAGCAGAGGCGGCGGCGGCAGCGGCTGCAGCATCATCCAAGGCAGCAGCGGAGACGGCGGTGCTCGGTCTGCGCTGGAGGTGATCGCCTCCATGCCCTACTAGGTGGCCGGCTGCTACTGGACCGGCGGAAAGGAGAATCAAGCCCGGTCCGTGGAGCCTGCAGCCACACCACCCAGCACTTCCTCTGCGCCATGGCTTAAGCCCGCAGTCACCTCGCTTCGCCTCGCCTCGCTCCCCAGGGTCTGCGCGCCGCCGCAGCAGCAGGGAGGGGCGCGTCCCAGACGCCCTAGCCGGGGACTCCAGGACGCCGTGCAGCTGGCCCTTCGGCGCTCGGCGCTCGCAGCAGCTGCGTTCCCGAAGGCGTTTGCAGCCGGTAATCGAGGCACTTTACAGACTTTATCTTAGCGATAGCTCTCCCCGGGTGCTCTCTGAGGGAGGAGGGCGAGGTAGTAGGCTGATTGGGGGAGAAAGCGGTGGGAATCACATTGGTGGGTAGGGACCAGGGGCTGAAGGAAGATTCTAGAGACTTGCTTTAAAGATACAAAAAGAAAGAGGGCCAGTTTTGCATCTAGCATCATGGCGTGGCCGTGCATCACACGGGCCTGCTGCATCGCCCGTTTCTGGAACCAGTTGGACAAGGCGGACATAGCGGTGCCGCTGGTTTTCACTAAGTACTCGGAGGCCACCGAAAACCCGGGCGCCCTACCGCAGCCGCCACCGCCACAACAGCAGCAGACTCGGCCCCCCTCGGCGCGCGCGGTCGCCATAGAGACGCAGCCGGCCCTAGGCGAGTTGGATGCAGTTGCCCGGGCAACAGGGCCAGCGCCCGGGCCTAGCGGCGAACGTGAGGCGGCGGCGGCGGCCTCCGCCCGGAGTGGGCTGGGCCACGGCGCGGGTTCCGGCTCCACCTCCAGGGCAGGCCCCGCGGACTCGGTGATGCGGCAGGATTACCGCGCCTGGAAAGTGCAGCGGCCTGAGCCTAGCTGCCGGCCGCGCAGCGAGTACCAGCCTTCGGACGCGCCCTTTGAGCGGGAGACCCAGTATCAGAAGGACTTCCGTGCCTGGCCGCTGCCGCGCCGCGGGGACCACCCGTGGATCCCCAAACCGGTGCAGATCCCCTCGTCCTCTCAGACTACCGCGCCTATTCTAGGGGCGCCCAAACGCCGGCCGCAAAGCCAGGAGCGTTGGCCGGTGACCACCGCCGCCGAAGCCATGGAGCAGGACGCCCCAGGAGGAACCGGTGTCCTGGCGGCCGGAAAGGCTTCCGGTGCGGACGAGAGAGACACCCGCAAGAAGGCGGGGCCCGCCTGGATGGTGCGTCGCTCCGAGGGGCACGAGCAGACGCCCCCGTCCGAGGCTCTAGCGCAGGCACAGGCCCAGGCACAGGCCGGAGCGGC